GCCCGGCTGGGTGCCCCGGTTGGGGTCCGCGGTTATGGAGCCGGTTGGGGGGCCCGGTTGGGTGCCCCGGTTGGGGCCCCGGTTGAGGCCGGTTGGGGGGCCCAGTTGGGTGCCCGCAATTAACAATTGATTAATTGTTAATTGCGGTTCTCGCAACTAACAATTGATCAAAATTTAATTGCTGTTTCGCAATTGACAATTAATTAATTGTCAATCTTTAATTGCCAGAACAATTAAAATTTGCCCAACACTGACTGTACCATGAGTACTAGAGCAAACGGAATAAAATTTTTAATTTTTCAAAAATATGTAATAAAAACTTAAATAATTATAGGTATGTACTCCATCCAACCATTTATTTAACTTTTGACAGCTCGAATTTTCATCCATTAGTGATGTCGTTTCCGATTCGATTTTTTATAACAATCGATTTTATTTGAGTAGAAGTTTTAATCATGATTGTAAGCGGGTTCAAAAATGAAGATTTTTGTCTGATTGGGATTGTGGTGGTGTATTTGACAGTTTGTAAAGAATCCGATGATTCATTATAGTAAACAATAAGAATTTATTATAATTTATTTATAATTAATTATAATTTATTAGACAGGTAACAAAATTTATCGGAAAATCATTCAAGTTGATAAATTTTGTTACATTATCTGTTAGCTCGATAAATATCGGAGCTAAAGAGCACGTCACTTCATTAAAATTAAAACATAAAAGAGGCAAGGGAGTATTGCATATTTTTCTCTTATGTTGTATGTCAATAATTACGGAACTTCGGAGGCATGCATATGTTGACATAGAGTTAAATAAATGGTTGGACGGAACATAAAGAACACATCATCTTTAACGATCTCCATGGTCGAGTGGCTTGCACACCGGTTTTCATGGTGTTGCCATCTCTGAGGTCTCGGGTTCGATCCCTGACTCAATGTAAAAAAACTTTTCCATGTTAGTCAAGGGTCTGGGTGTTTGTGCTACCGTCGTTGTTTCCGATTTCCATAACACAAGTGCTTTAGTTACTTACTTTGGGTTCGGAGCAATGTATGTGGTGTTGTCTAATATTTATTTATATATTAATTAATTTAAATCAAGAAAATAATTAAAATCGGTTTATCAGTATTTCAGAAAACACCGCCCTTATAGCATCTCTTCGAGCAGAAATACAAATGTATGAAACAAACATGGCTGAACTGCAGGGATTAAATCAAGTATTACGAGATGAACATCAAGCTTTACAAATCGCTTTTGCAGCTATTGAAGAAAAATTAAGAAAAGCGCAGGTACCTATTTATACAAGTGTGTTATTAAGGCAAATATAAATAGTATTTAATTTAGGAGTTGCCGTGTCACTGTTATCAGGTCGATATTAGGTTACAGTTTTACTGTGATCTCTAACCTGCTTCCCAATTGTGGCGCCCATATGATATCTTTTTTTAGTCCGTCCTGCATTGAATTTATAGGCTAATGCAGATGCAGGCCTGCAACTACGACGTTCGATAGAGTGTTGTTGTTGTTTTAGCCATTGGTTTAGCCTTTACAAATTTGATTAAACCCCACATTATATTGCACAATCTTTGACAACTAATTTCTATTTCTGACATCCCAAACATTGATATCAAAGCGTTGACCTAACGACAAATTGTCAAATTTTGTTATATAGATAGTTGTTAAGGTATTTTTCTTGCGATGATGACTATATTCATATTCTAAAGAATAGGCGTATTTCGATTTCTGTTTAAAAGAAATTATAATACATATCTATTGTAGTCGTTGATAATGAAATAAGACTCATTGTTAAATAGATCTGAAGTGAATCTTTTGCGAGTATCTTGCGTAATATTTTAGGTTTGGAGTCAATCGACTATGTGAATAAATAAATAAGTATATAAATAGTGCTAGACAACCTCACGAATTACCTGGTCTCAAACGAGGACATTGCTTTTAGGATTTGCCCACACGCCAAATAGGCGCTTTGTCGTCGAGTTGCGGACACCAGCCCGTTGCACTAAGTACCAAGTTGCCTATACTATGAGTAAAAAGTTTTCAAAACAAGAGTGCATAATCTCACTAGTCTTCAATTACCTATTGCTACTTAATACTTATACAAAAATACCATTGCCGATTACCGTAAACCGCGAGTTTTCTTAATGTTTGACGATGACCGGTGTCGTAAAAAGTATAACGACTAATAACGATTATTTTACTTTAATACTAACTAATAAAAACGAAAATAATTTGCATGAAGCAGAGAACAAGACAGCGTCACAATTTGTACGGCAATACTAACGACTTGCATTTTCATGACGTACGAGTATGTTCATAATCCTCGAGACTTATAGAGTCATATATTAATTGAATAAATTTGACATTTTTCGCTGAGTTGACCTACAACGATTGTACACTTAAATATTTAAAAAAAAACAATAAAAATTAAAAAAAAAAAACAACGCAGACTCTTACGTCTCGCAGGTTATTTTAGTAGCATAAAAACTTGTGAAAGTGTTTGTCCAGGGAAGTACATTAGGTACCTATTTCTGCCGCCAAACAGTAATGTCAGCATTACTGTGTTCCGGTTTTGAAGGGTAAGGGTGCTGGTGAAATTACAGGCACATGGGATTTGTCAACTTGTGTCTTAGGGTAATGGGAGCAATGGTAGTGCCCCTCAGATCTTTGCGATTTAAAGCTCTTAGTGGCACTGCAACTGTTATGGACAGCCGTGTAGCTTACCATCCGGTGCACTACATGTTCGTCCCGTCACTTGACATTTAAAAAAAATCTCAGCCTTGTTCTTGCCAAAATGTTGCAGGGTTGGTCTCGGTCTCGGCGCTCCAATTAGGTGGTCTTAGTCGTTTGCACGACAAAGACTAGTTTTGGGCAACACTATTGACCCAGCGCTACTAACGCATGAATGAATACGCTTAGTTTGTGCTGGTAATAAACTACCTTCTCTAGGTCGAAAATGTGATCTGTTATATATCAACAATTTCAAAAGTTGAGTTTAGTTAAGTCTATTAATTCACATCTCGGCGTATACATGAGCAGATTTTCCCCTATATTACACCATTCTTGGCGGAGGTGTTGGAACAGTAGCGATCAGAACCTAGGTCCGTGCCCACCTGGACACCCTCAAGTTTGCTAGTAAATTTATGATATGGGACTTCAGTTTGTCCGTAGCGTAGTCAAGGCCGTCAGTGGCCAACTGCTAAAAATATCTATCATAACATAGTTCACATTTCAATGCTTGTTATCCGAAGGTATTCGTCGTATAATAAAAATTAATATGTAGCTGCGCCGCCGAACACGTGCCTGCTATTGTTTACTGAGATAAAGTATTTTTAGCATGTAGTTTTGTTACTTTGGAGCGATTTATCCCGCTGGAAATTGAAAATTTTATCGCATCATTCGAAAAGTGGCATTCTGCCAAAACAATTCGAGGTTTCGTCCGTCATATGCAGTACGTTCCCTAATTCGCGACTGCACACATATTGATTTCATTTCGTAATCATAGACGAATTTTGATTTTAAAATCCAAATTCCATTTGTAATAAAATTGACAAATTATGCTAGATAGAATTTTTTTTTTCAACTAATGTTAAAAATTAATAAAGTAATTTAACGCGTAGTCACTATAGAATCACTTGCGACAATCAAATGATGTCGAAAATCTAATTTGTTGAATGCACCTAGAATTAAACAAAAACAACCTATGTTTTACTATCTTTCTGTGTGTGGTGTAATTAAGTGTTTAAATCTATTTCAAGTAACGTCACAGTTTGGTGCGGGCATACCAACAAGTGTTGCCTTTTCGATTTTTTTATTCAGTTGCTACATTCATAGCACCGAAAAGTGTAAGGTTTTCTAGTTTTGGGAAAGTGTTGTCTTGTAAAAAATGAAAAAGTTGTTCCAAAAGGTATATTCCTGTGATTTACAGTAAAATATATGTCGATTTTTCAAGTTTTCGAGTTTAATTGGTTTTTTGTGTTTTCCAGGACGAGAATAGATCATTAGTGGAGAGACTAATAAAATACAAGGCGAAAGATGCAGACAAAATGAACGAGGAAAACGAACATTTTCTTAAGTAAGATGAATATATGTTTTTAAATTTTATTTGCTAGCATGTGTTAAGGTTTTGAGATTTTTAGTGCATTTTCACGAGTTGTTAGAGATTGCACTAATATAAGATTTTGTGTTATAATTTTCACCCGCTCGAATTTGCTTAGAAACAAAATTTGTCCTATTCGTGTGCTACTACCGACAGTTTTTGTTTTATTAGATAGCATATATACGCATTATAAATTACGTATTGTTTATTTGAGGCATTCGGCCAATATGTTTGAATACAATTGTGCTTTATAGTGAAATGTGTAGTAAATGTTGCTGCTATAATGTGCACTGACACGCACAATAGATAGCGTATTTGTCATGTATGACTCTTACATTTGCAATATTTCATACCCTTGGTGTAATAATTATAACTTTTTATAAAAAAACCGACCTCAAAAGTTCGCGGAGTTACATCTATTTGCCAAGTTTTATTGAAATCGGTTATCGAAAAGTGCGCGACACTGGATTCATCCTCTAGTTTACCGCCCGTACACGAGGAATATTTTCTTCAAACTTAAATGGGGCCAATGCTCATGTACCCTCTAAAGAATCATCAAAATCGGTTCACAAATGCCGTTGTAATCGCGTAACATACACACAAAAAAATACATTTGAATTGTTATACCTTCTTCTTTTTTGAAGTCGGTTAATAAAGTCACATCAAAACGTCAAGAGTATTACATGGAATTCATTAAAATAATACGAAGTACATACATGAAACAAATTATATGTGTATGAAATTTTATAACTCTCCTGTATAAGCATAAAAACGTAATCGGCCAATTTCGTTCGAAGAATGAAAAGTCGTAATTTTGCATATATGGCCTTATTAAACCAGGAGTGACATTTTAGTACTGTGATATACAGATTTTTTTGTTGAAATTACTTACTGCATCCAATAACAGCGATTTTGTTTTATCTATTTTTTATGATATCAAGTGACGGGACGAACAAGTCATGTGTCTGATGGTAAGCTACACGCTTGTCCATAACAGTCGCAGTGCCACTCAGAGCTTTAAATCGCAAAGATCTGAGGGGCACTACCACTGCGCCCGTCACCCCGAGACTTAAGTTGACTAGTCCCATTTGCCTGTAATTTCACCAGCACCCTTACCTTTCAAAACCGGAACGCGTAATGCTGTCATTACTGCTTGGCGGCAGAAATAGGTAAGGTTTTCCCTGGATGAACTCTTTTACAAGGAACTCTACTGCCCTTATCGATCTCAAAATACAAATTTGCAAAGAGGTCTATTAAAAATCAATTCTTATGTTATGAGTCTACATGACAAATCACAGTAGACACTGCACAGTTGATTAATGAATTGTACAAAACCTATTTATTGATAATGTTGTGATCATAGGATGGGTTATGTGTGTGCCACGCGGCTTTAGAAGCTTGCATAAGTAATGTTTGTTTTTTGCTTCTTTTTGTTTAATTTGTTCTACAGGTCAAGCTCTACCGCGTTTTTCTTCAACACGTTTAGACTTAGTAGTTTCGGGTGAGTTTGCAATAATGTGAATGAAGAATGGTGATTTAAAGGCATTGTGGCGTTAATTTCTCATTACAGTGGTCCATACGACTTAACCGCACTTCTTGAATCGTACTCATACCTTTTTAAGACCTTTTTGTAAAAACGCAGCTTAGTTGTGTGGCATATTTTGGTAATCGAAATTAAATTTTAGCAAGTAAAGAATTTTTCATCACACTTGCTCAGAAATAGTATGATTGCATGGTGGGTAACTTGGTCGATAAGGTTTTAATTTGTAGCATTTGTAGTATCTGTATAAATTTTTTTTCTAAAGTCCATAATGGCTTTATGCGTTTTTACTATTTACAACATTTTGGTTTGAGTTGTATCTATGGACGAATTGAAATAAAAAAAAAACAAAAAACACGCCATTTGCAAAATCTATAATTGTTGTGTTGTGAACCATATTGTTATTGTATTTATTTCCTCGCAAATGCTTCCTGTTATGGACAGGCGTGTAGCTTACCATCAGGTGCACGACTTGTTCGTTTCATCACTTGATATTGAGTAAATATAAAAATAAAATAAATAAATACAAATAAATGAAAAACATTGATATTATGACGGACGGTATAAAATACAAAACTCGAGTTATAAAGCTAATAGATCCTCGTTAGTAATTTCTTATTTACCGTCGCTAATACGCTAAGTACTATATTTAATATATTTTGTTGCAACCAATAGAAGCAATCACGAAATAAAGCCTTGTCTCCCAACCAACTTTTGACTGAACAGTAATAAATAGTGACGTGTGATGCAGGGATTTTCCTTCGACCATATTTATTGACCTGTCTTACATTTTTGAACAAACATGTAGCGCTTTAATAGGTTCCTACTCTTAATAAAATATCAAATTTCGGATGTAAAGTCATTGTTAGAGCGGTTACATACGGCGACCTTTAGCAGCGATGCAAACGCGATTCTGTAGCGATGCAGTCGCTACTCGTCTACTTTTACACATTATTATTATACACACACGCGCGATTTTAAACAGCAATGCAAACGCGTTTCTGCATCGGTACAAACGCGCGATTGCATCGCTACACTTGGAATTTATAGGCGATTGCATCGATGCAATCGCGCGTTTGTATTGATGCAGTTGTGCGTTTGCATCGATGCAATCGCCTATAAATCGTAAGTGTAGCGATGCAATCGCGCGTTTCGTTTGCGTCGCTGTGTGTAACCACTCTTAAAATAATCTGTCTGTTCAACGTTACGAAGATATCTTTACTTAAAAATAAATTAATTTATTTAATCTCAACGAATACAGTGTCAAGAGCACGTTAATCTTGACACTTACGATTTAAATTCAACTCTACGCCGCTGCGATAAGAACGGTCAAAATACCGAAGTGTCAATCTTGAAGTGTTCTTGACTGTACCTAAATGAATTGTGTTTAAATTTATGGACTGTCATCGCCGTAATGTACATTTTTGCTAATGTTCTGACGCTATCCCTGTTTACCTGTCGTTTATTGTTATTATACAATGAAAGAAAGAAATGAAAGTAGAATCTTTAATTATAGTTTGTCCACCACGACTTCAACGATAAGGACTACTTTACTTTGGATATGTTTGCAATTTTTTTCCATAGGTATATAGTTAATTCAAAAGATATATTAACATCCAATTGATATGATCACAACCTCTAGTTTTTTTTATAGTACTAATGAACATCGACAAAAGCTTTTGAAATTTTATGAAGTTCATTCTTGCGATTACCAACATATGCGACAAATAATTATATACCAAAAACTTTATATAACTAATATTATATAAACTTTTAAAATGGATCTTCGTCATTACACACCTACTCTCCACGTATATTTTTGCGTGTTTTCGTGTGCATCAATTTGTTCTTTGCACTACGTTTTTTTTTCTAATAAAGATGCTCTTATCGGGATGTTTTGATTGCCATTTGAATGTTTTTCTAACTTATTGACATTTTCATAATTTGTGCATGTATTTGACTTTAAATGATTGATTACTTTGCATTTCTTCTTTTTCCCAACAATATTATTTTTACAATTTTGCTAGTTTGTTACCACGTCTTTACATTTTTTTACGAGTTCATGTTGTGTTCTTGATATATAAGCGGCACACTTATTGTTCAGTATAATACCATGGGCAAAGGTTTAATTGACTAACTCGGTATTGTAATAAGTTTTAAGTAGTAACGTATGGCACGGGACGGAATGTAGCATGTAGACTATATAAGAGAGTCCCTAAAGCTGTCAACGCTGCATCATATTGTCAAGAAAGTTTTTATATTTACGGAATATGCGCGTAATAGACGTTGCAACAGTTTTTGTCGTTTGGACTGAAACTGTGCGAATATTGACACCTTTTATTCTACATATATAAAGGTTTTATTAATTGGTTTAATGAGCTTGTACGTGGACTTTCTTATTTACGTATTCTACGCATGGTTACGGTATTGACGCATAATTAATGTAATTTCTAAGAAATATATCTCATATGCCCACTATTTTACTTACTTAATAATAATTTTGAATGAAATACTAATACTGACGAAATACAGCGGCAGCTTTACCTTAAAGTGAGTTTTAAATTTAATCTTTATTATGAAAGTAAACAAACGTAAAGTCGCGTGGCGGAAATCAATTGCACACATTGCTTATGCATGTGACGTAAATAAATATTAAAAATAGGCAAAGTTCGGCCGTGAAAGACCTTCGAACGCCCATGGTCTTGCTCTTATTGAAATACCCACATCCAATTACTATTAAATTGTATAATTTCGCGCTGGAGTAAAAAGCTTGGATTAAGAAATTTTGCAGAAATAATTATTTCACACTTCTGTATTATGCGTTTGTAGGGAAACCAAAGGCTGGACACAATAAATTCTTTGTTTCTAAACATTTTTCTATTTCAGAAAAAAGAGTGACAAAGTCCGGAAAGAATTGGAAGAGGCAGCAAGAGAAGGAAATAGTAGAAGTAGTGTCGGCTCCGGAGGTAGTTCGGCGGATGACAAGGTGCTGGATTCCATGCCATTTTATGCGACGACATTACCTACTAAAGTCGCTGTAAGATTTGTAAGTTCCTTTTAATATTCCTATTCATCTCTGCACGGATCTATTTTTTTTATAATACCAACCAAGTGACGGGACGAATAAGTCGTGCGCTCAGAGCTTTAAATCGCATAGATCTTAGGAGTACTGCCACTGCTCCCGTTACCCTGAGACATAAGTTGACAAACCCATAATTTCGGCCTGTAATTTCACCAGCACTCTTGCTCTTCGAAACCGGAACGCGTAATGCTGACATTACTACTTGGCGGCAGAAATAGGTAAGGTGGCAGCACTTCCCTGGATGAACTCTTTTACAAGGAGCTCTACTGCCAATATCGATACAATTGACATGATGCGAAAAACCTTTCCTGAATCCTCAATCTGTCTAACAAGTTATTGTTTATTGCGTTATGCTAGAAGACATGTTTTTCACTCTCTCATTTTGTTTTCAGGACGCACATGACGGTGAAGTTTATGCTGTCAAATGGAGCCCTACAGATAGGATAGTTGCCACTGGAGGCGCTGATAGGAAACTCAAATTATGGGACGTCTGTAAATGTAAGTTTCTTAATTTTTGAGTAACTGTAATATTGAGATGATTGAATATTACGATATTTTAATACCACGATATTTAGTAATTTTTTGTTAATTTTTGATAGATTTCTCACAGTTGGCGCTACAGCAAAAAAGTCGTTAAAACAAAAGCAAAAATCTGCAACAAACACATTGAAAAATTCGTAAGGTCTGCTGGTTCGTTCCATAGCCCAGTTGAGAGAGCGTTAGGCACGATTTGATGAAGGCGCAGGTTCTAATCCAACCGGACCGAAGGAATTTTTCTTAGTGCAGGCAAATACTGCTACCTTACCTATTTCTGCTGAAAAGTCGTCAATACTGCGTTCCGGTTTTGAGTGGTTGGCGCATTCCCAATATGTCGCACCGATTTTGTTTTATTTATCGTTGAACGACTGTCACGTCTAGCCTGTTCCCATATCACGGCTATTTGTCGTGACTTTGTCGTGGACGTTCTTTGTTTTAATAATTTTTGAGTAATTTTTTTAGTATTAATTTTATCTAAACACATGATCTTGCTGTGAAATGGATCTAAAGTTCATTTTCACCATCTAAGGGAACGTCAGATATTTGAAATCAGTAGGAAGATATTCCGTCTCTTTTTAACAAGTCTTTAGGTAGCTTGTATGGCACTTCTACACTGTTACGTCCCTAATTACTATTGTCATTTCTTTTTCCATTTTCTATTTGTCGTAACAAAAAAGGTGTTACGACAAATAGAAAATTTATTACGACTTAACGATGATATGAAACAGCACCATGAATATGTGGACTGTCAATTTTGCACTCCTAAGTAGCAAAGTATTTAATTTTTGGTATTTTTGCGCGAAATAATCGACACGACCGTAACGTACAAAGCGAAAATGGCGGACTGAGCTTAAGTATGTGGAACTGCGCGTACTGTTGGCACGCGTGCCACTTTCACTACGCACTTCTACTGTAGTTTATTGTTCTATGGTTGTCTGGCACATTATTATTATATAATGATTGCTTAATCTGTATCTGTTAACAGCGTCAGTGGAGAGCAAGGGTACTCTAGTCGGTTCTAATGCAGGAGTGATGTCGGTCGACTTCGACTCGACAGGAGCGTACATAGTTGGTGCCTCCAACGACTTCGCGAGTCGTGTGTGGACGGTGGGAGACCAGAGAATGAGGGTAAGTCGATCAAAGGAAAGCTTTTATCTTTAAATTTATTATTATATGGGATAATATTATTTGATTCTAAAATATATAATTGATCTATTTTTTCTTTTTTAAATAAACGATTTTTTTTATGTTTGATCTATATATCAATTGTTCCATCTATATTAGTTGATCTACGGATAAATTATAAATGAACTACATTGAAGGTAACACTATTGTTATGTTTAAGCACACTAAATTAATATTTGGCATTTAAAAATAATATTTGACACTTTTTTATTATTGGTCTTTTCTTTTAACGATTGATGACATTTATAACTAGTATATATTTTGATATTGGTCTCCTAATAAGTCTTGGTTGCTCGGTTACGCCCTTCATTCAGTAGGTTAGGTTTTTCGTGTACCAACATGAACAAGCAGCATGAGCCGAGTGACCGCAGCGAGCACGTCGCGGCAGTGGCCGGCGAGGGACAGAGGTCAATTTGCTTGCGTTTCCGAACATGTTTTCAGGTCAAATTATATTATAATTAATATAATATTAGTATACATATGTAATCAAAATTGACTTAGTTTTAAAAATAAGTACGAAATTTTAACTTTAATGCTCACTTGTCTTAGTTTTGAGGCCCCACATAAAACTATCATAGATAATGTATATCAAATCTAATATTTTTTGCGTAGCTCTACAAGTAACAGACTAAAATAACCAGTGATTTAATTTATTTTATATCTTGGAGAAAGAGGATCGATCATTAAAAAAGATGACCATTTAGATTTGTTTGCCTGCTGCTTTTGCAAATTTTAAATGATCATTTAAATAAATGCCTTATCATATTACTGCAATATTATTATTTGTCCTGTGATAAATAATTTTATTACAAATTTTCAACCCATTTCAAGATTGATTTATGCAATACATGTTGTGTGTCACTATGGAATGTATTATCCTTGTTATTTTTTTAGTAGTGAAGTAAGTTGGTAGATTGTTTTATTATTAAAAGAGTTGTTTGTTGTACATTTTTTGTTTGTATAATAAATAGATGTAATAAATACATGGATAATTTTGTGGGTTTGCTGTTGCTTTTGTAAGTGTTACTATTATATTAATATCATTAAATAGGTTAGTAGCGTGTATGACCTATCGACTGCCTGAATAGTCGCAATGTCGAATTAGAGTTTTTTTTCTCAACATTAGTCTTTTTTAACTGAGTGTGTCATCAATGCGTATTTTATTCAACTCAGCTTCTATCAGCGGGGAACTGTTTGCTTATATTATTTTCTATTATGTTGTAGTATAAGCTGTTTGTACCCACTAAGATAAATTTAAATAAATACGTAATATTAAAAAAAAGTTTGCTTGGGTTATGTTAGAGCCCTTACAACTATCGTCGCTAGAGTCGCGGTAAGTTCTTAGATTATTTATCTTTGATAGTGGCAGAATCGGTACATAGTTGGTGACGTGTAGTCATACATGCCTAACCTAAGTATGGATGGCTCAGGTTCTAGAGTGCCACTCAGATAGTGCCATATACATATATGTGGAAGCCCTAAGGGCCCTAACGAGCGGTAGCGGTATGGATATGTTCTTTTTTAATGAAGTTATGTATATTTTTACGGGCATACAAAATATTTGAGTAAATGTACTGTGATGCCACAGTCATGATACCAGTCTCCCTAAACTTTTCTCTGAGAGAAATCCGAGAACCTAAACGGTACACAGAACGAATCGCTAGTTTTTGCAACACAATTATGGTTTGTATATCTGCCACTTTACCCCACATGACAATCCCGTAGGACACTATAGAAGTAACTAAAGTAAAACTAGCCTAGCAGTAGCAACATCGTTAAGTTCACGTATGCTACGGATTGCGTATGCAGCAGAGCTTAATCTGCTGGCCAAGGAAGATATATGTGGAAACCATTGGAACTTCGTTATAGCGCACTCTAAAGTTTGTATTGTGAATGTCTGTCTTGAATATTGAGGAGTATCCAATAAGAAATCATTGTCGTTATTGATGTAAATAATAACATAGTATTACAGACTAATACGATTTTGAACTAAGCATACAATGATGAGCAGAACAAGTAAAAAAGAAGAATTTATACGTACGACATTTTTTCACGTAAAAAATATATACGTAAGAACATGGGTACTTTATTCTCGATAAAGATTCGCTTCTACTCGTCGCTGTATAGTTCAAACTGCGTTATAAAACACTACGTGCTCTCAAACTTTTGAATTCCCTATGCTAAGAGTACAAGAGCAACGAAATTAATTTCGGGGTACTACTCAGAACGCTCAGGCTGGAACGAAATAAGAATTGAACAGTCGCGAATGACTTTGACGATTTGACCTCTAAGCAGTAGTAACAATTTCATACGCCATCCATCGACCACTCGCTTGTACTTACACAAAGTCAAATAAAGATAAATTGTAAATTAGAATACAGAAGAGTCTATCTATATATATAGAGTTTTTATCTATACCTACGTTGTTGTTCCCTCAGAGACATTCGATAATAAACCATCGTAAAAATAAACATTACATAATATTATATTAATAATATTATATAATATTATATTATATTAGGGTCAAAATCGTAATAGCATAAATAGTGAAAGTATTAGGTAAATCGTGCAATGATTCGATCGTTAGTTGATAGGATCAATTAACCACTAATACTACTATCTTCAGCTATAAAAGAGAAGTAGAAAAGAGTAGTAAAATTAAAACAAATACTTTTATCCGCTATATTTTAAATGCAATTAACAAACTTCAATATTTACTAATTAATTATGCATCATTGAAAGTATCACTTTTATGTATTATTTATTCCATTTGTTTTTTACAATACGTAAATAAACACTTAGATTAATAATAATAAAAAATAAAAGTGCTTATGACCAATACGACTAATTTGTTTTTAACTGATGGAAATTCCAACAATAAGAAGTACACAGTACAGTATAACGATACGTACTTTGCGCGAGGTTAAATAAATATGCATTAAAATAGGTACTTAATTAACAAAATTATTAACATTAAAAAGCGTGAAAATCTAAATAGCGAGAACAAGTAGTTTAATTGAAGTTGGCCTAGTTGGCCTAGGTGTTCTGGAAAGTGTCGCTGAGTGAATTCCGTAGCTCTTGATCCTTTGTTTGATTTCCGGTAGAACCAGTTTCGGAAATAAAATTTTCAAAAATGGTGTTGGTCTAGGTGTTCTGGGTAGTTCAAGGTGTTCTGATGTTGTACAGAATTCACTCCGCGGCACTGACAAGAACATCTGGGCCAAAACTATTTTAGAAAAGTTTATTTCCCAAATTGGTTCTACCGGGAATCAAACCCGAGACCAAGGGCGGCACTACCCAGAACACCTAGGCCTTCTCTTCCAGAACAACTAAAGCTTTTCATCCAGTGCCATATTATTTGCATGTACATTGTACAAATTTCATCTTCACCTTAGATTTATTTTTTATTTCGGCATTTCTTTAATCTCTAGTCTTTGTTAGTTATTAAAAAAGATGCAATGTAAATATAACGAAATAACTAATTTATAAAATCTAAAACAAAGTCAAATATATATATACAAATTAAATTTAACACAAACACAAGTGAAATTAATTAAAAACAGCGACTTTTTATGGCCTAAACCCGCTCAAAAACACACGTGCAGTCCACCCGTCGCAAAGCCTGAAAGGCGACTGAGCGTAGTGCTGCGCAGACCTCGCGAGTAGGAAGGAATTATGTTTTTCAAATAATAACACTTAACTTATGAACTGTACATATAAGTTAAAAAAGTGAACAATACATTCTGTTTGAAATTAAATTTGAAATCTTTTTCCGTGTATATTTTATAAACAACGGATGTTTGCATGTAAAGAGAAATTGTTTTTTATTCAATTTGAAGGACGTAACTGTGAATTTTATTTCGTAAAAGAGCTTAATAAATTGTAGTTTTGCTCAATACATTCAATTATTGAAGGACTACTAGCAACCATATTTTTTTTTTTGTGATTATTGGACTATTATTATTATCAGGAATTTAATTTAAAAAGAGCCTAATTCGTCAATCTGGCATTTGTTCCAGGCTTAAGTAAATTTCGTTTCGCAAAATTGGTCTTACCGAAATTCGAGCTCGGGACCTTCTCTTCTACATATCTATGTGCGCTCATGGTGCTAAATGCTGTTCCAGGTTCGTCTTGTACAAAATTCTGAAGGTCCGAGCACACTCTACAGTTTTTTTTAAATTTCATGCAATATTATCGGAGTCAAATAAACGCCCCCTAGCAATTGATACTACTGAACATGTATTTTTCACTGATTGTCTGGAGATGTAGGTACGCTGCAGAGTGACACAGTGACACGGGTGTGGCGCGTCTGTGGCGCTGCAGTTGCGCTTCTAAATATTGTGTGACATTTTTAAGTTAATTGAATGTCACGATGTTTTACTACCATGATAACTCAGCTATTTTTTGTAAAATTGCTCCATAGTTTGTTATAATTATTAATACAAAGATCGAACACTAGGCTCAACTCACACTGGCGCAGAGTCGAAGCGTCGCGTCGCTTCCTGTTGACAACTCCACCGCACGGTGATTCACGCTCCATACTAAGGCGGTCATAAATACGTAACTCCGAAATTATTATTATTTTTTTATTTTATTACGTTAAAATATGATTAGGTAAACGTAAATTAATAAAATTATACATTTTAAAAAATATTTGACAATATTTAGGTGTAAAAATGTCTCGCAGTAATTTTGTTTTTAGACGATGTATCTAAAACATTTTATACTGCGACTTTTAATGGTAAAACTGTGTAAATAATGATTATTTGTATTAACAATAACCACAAATGAATAAATTAAAACAATAAAAATACATAAAAAAGTTCATTTTACAAAATACAAACAAAACACAAATTATACCAAAATACATTAAATCTCAACAATATTAACTTTAAATACATAACAAGTCTAATACAGCTTTTGACAGTACACCTTTTTTTTTA